GGGAAAATAGGCTAAATGGTAAATGGGACCTCTCTCTATGATTACTCACAACTGCATATATGTTGAAATTGCCTTCAAATTAAAAAAAAGTGTAAGTAAATAATAGAAAGAAGGAAACCCATGCCGTCGAAATAAAACACAAATAGTGAAGCAAATAAAATCCGTGTCTTTTGGGGATCCAGGTCGAGCCTGCCGCTGCCGCTGTCGCCTAAGGAGAGCGAGAAGAGGCCGTGACTGGGGAGAAAAGGCCGGAGTTGCCATGGAGAGGAGTCGCCTCCCCAGCAGCCGCTGCCAAAGAGGCCTGTCCACCTGTCCCCCTACCCTGTCCACAATGCAGCCTGCTCCTGCAAAGTGGTATGATCGAAGGGACTATGTCTTCATTGAATTTTGTGTTGAAGACGATAAAGATGTTAATGTAAATTTTGAAACATCCAAACTTACTTTCCGTTGTCTTGGAGGAAGTGATAATTTTAAACATTTAAGTGAAATTGATCTTTTTCACTGTATTGATCCAAATGATTCCAAGCATAAGAGAATGGGCAGATCAATTTTATTTTGTTTATGAAAAGGAAAATCTGGCCAGTCATGGCCAAGGTTAACAAAAGAAAGGGCAAAGCTTAATTGGCTTAGTGTGGACTTCAATGATTGGAAAGACTGGGAAGATGATTCAGACGAACACATGTCCAATTTTGATCGTTTCTCTGAGATGATGAACAACACGGGTGGTGATGAGGATATAGATGGACCAGAAGTAGATAGAGCAAATGGTGATTCACAAGACAGTGACAATGAAAAAATGACAGATCTGGAGTAAGGAATATGTTATCACCTGGATTTTGAGAAAGAAAAATAACTTCTCTGCAAGACTTCATAATTGAGAGAATTGCAGAGTTGATAGCTCCAAAGGCAGATGCTGTATTTGCCTTCATTAACCCATTTTTCACCCTGTTTGTTTTTTAAAAAGCTTCACTAAGGGTGGACATCTACCAGTGTATGGGCACTTTTAAGTCAGCTAAGGCAATAAGCTCATGCATGAATATTTCCCAGACTTTCATGAAGCTGTTGAGGTCCTAGGCAATTGATAAAGCAGCTGTGTTAAATAAAAACATTTCACTTAGTCTCCTTTACTTCGTAATATAGATACTGCCGTGATAGGAAGCACTCAGCTTAGGGAGAGATAATTAAATTTTAGATTTTAGAACTTGGACTCAAGTGGCTGAAACAAATTGGCTGATACCTTAATCTGGTAACTTGCTGTTCCTCTGGTGCATCCTTCAGGATTGTTCCACTAAAGTTTGTTTTTCAAAAAATTTGCTTCACATTATTTTA